TATGACTTGTATGCTTTTTAGCTAAATGTTTTGATGATGAAATGTTTATAGACTGATGTTTGTTTTTGATGATGAAATTTTTTGTACACTTGAGTGCTTCACATTAAAACACATGACATCATATGACCTTGTAAAACTTTGCTTTAATAAAAAAAAAAGTATTTTTAAGTACAATGTGCAATTTTTGGGTTCTTATTGTAGTGAAGGTAGTACACCGCAACACTGAACTTTTCCAAGTATGTGAACAATATGATTGTCAGAGCAAAGTAAACATCTTCAGACAGAGCAGTAACAGGCCACAAATAGTACAGTATACCTTAATAAAAGGAAGTAATAACAGGACTTATTATTATTGATTATTTATTTTAACTATTTACTTAATTCATCTATTAGTTGTTTGGTGTGTAAATAATGAGTAAACAGTGATAAATTCCCTCCACAGGCTCATGGAGACCAAGGTAATCTCATCAAATGCTGTGTTTTGTCAAAAAACAATCAAAAACCAAAGATATTCAGTTCACTGTACGGTTAAGACACAAAAACAAAACATTTGAGCTGCTGAAACCATTTAATTTTTTGGCATTTTCTTCCTGTCAAAATGACTTTAACAATTAATGGCTTACCAACTAGCTGCCAAATAACTTAATGTCAATCAACTGATAGATTAAGTGATTAATTGTAACTAAATAACAATGTGCATATATCAATAAAAGCAATCAGTGTGATAGAGCAGTAGGTTATGAATGGCAGCAGTATAAAATGATGCAAAAAACACTGAGAAGAAACAGCTTAACCTAGCGTGACAGTGTTTACTCTTCGTTTCAGATGCACAGCAGCCGACCTACATGGCAGGACAGGTAAGTTGTGCTTACAGTGACCGTGGAATATTTCTATAGTAATATTTGGCTCCGTGCTCCAGAAGGCACACTCTCTCAAAGGACTTACGTGCTTTTTGTACACATGATTCCCAGAATTCCTGGTCTGGAAAGACATGTACCACAACCATGTCCTTAAGAGTCCAAACAACCAGGTCTCAGCAGTTTGATCCAGTTACAAAGATTTGTGTCTGTGTATGGAAACAGTGTGTTTTCTTAAGCTGAAGCTTATTGTAGGACAATAGAGACAGAAGTCTTTGTCCTTTGTTTCTCAGGCCTGCTGGATGCTGCATGTTTTTATATATTTGGAAGGACACTTCTTTTCAAGGCAGCCTTTTCTACAGCAGTCGCACATTGTGAGTCCTTCAGTGGTTTAGTTCATTTTAGGTTTTGTTTGCCAACGAAAATCATTTAAATACACAAGACAAAAATAAAATAAATTAATAACAATATGTCATTATTTTTGAAGCAGTGACAAACTAAAGCAAGTTTTGCTGAAGCAAGGTGAAGGCTAAAGTATGTATTGCACAAATACTTTATACATTAATTACAATGTAAAACCCCAAATCCCCCAAAATATTCATATACATGCGCTAGTCTCAATGATTTAATTTTATATTTGTAAATCATCTCAGTTTTTATCATTTTTTTTAATCTTGCATATGTATTACACGTATTTCTTTTCATTTGCAATGCGACTCCACAAATGAGCTCCTTTGACTGTTATACATCTTTGTTTTTGTAAACTTCTAATTCCTTAGTTAACACTGACTCGCAAATATGGGGCAGCTTCTGGATATATGCAGAATGCATCTTTTTTGTTTTACCTTATACATTAGTACTAATCTACAGGTTGGTTAATGATAATCAGCTCTGTTTACAATTCTAAAGCTTTCTTCTGTAGCAAAAAAAATAATAATTTGTGATTCTTTTGTATGTGTTTTCTTATACCTCTACTCATTCAGCTTTTAGGTTTGTGTGATGAGGGTCTCTGCTTTTGAGAGCGGCCTTCAGAGCATCCATCTCATGCTCGACACCCCACCTGGTATGGGTGGTAGTTGCTTTGTGTTGTGAGTTGCACACCTGTTTCACAACGGTTAGAGCTGGCCTTTCCAAACTGGTGGCAAATACAGCACACATGTTTGAGGTTATAATTCTTCCAGTCCGACATGATGCGCACCAAGCGTTAGACTAATGCTGCTGCCTTGTGCACATCTCAACAGCTGCTGCCTGTGTGTCAGTCACACTTGCAGCATGTGTGTGTTTCTCACAGTGCGGCAGGATAACTGACAGTTCATATGTATCTATGCCTTTATCATAAAGAGATGTTGCTAAGCGTTGAGGCACTGCAAAGAGCTCTGCTGCTTCTGCATATTGTGTGTAATATTCCTCCATCCATGACAAACCAACAGATTTGCTATGCTGCAGCAGTGTTTCAAGTAGTGGTGATAACCACTCTTGATTACCTGGTGGATTTACATTTTTTGGCACATCTGCTTATGGCTGATGTGGTGGAGCATACACTCATACACTGGTCAAGCACTTTCTTCTGCACCACTGAAGAGGTGTAGTCAATCTTGTAGCCCACTTCAGCATGGATGTTGCTCAAATATTTGGTCGAAACCCAGTAGGTGCATCTGTGACAGTCTTTGCCCCACGAATCCAAACAGTAGCGTCCAGTTTGAAATACTCAATAACACTCAGTGTTACATACCTTTGAATGACAGTGTTTCCACAGTTCAGAGGTTTATACATTTTCGAACATTTAAAACTGCCTGATTGTGCAGCAGTATATGCACTTACACCACAAACAAGAGTGGTAAAAATATTGGGAAATGTGAGGGGAGGTAAACTGTCAGGAGCAAGCAGGGCGAACAGCATGCACATCCAAAAAACTTCTACAGGTGCTGGATCAAAAAATCAAACTCAAAGAACCAGACGGAAGATCCACACTGTATTAAAAGCTCCCAGCAGTTTTAATTGTGCAATGTTTTGATCTTACAGAGATCTCTGTCAGGCATTTCGAAATCACCATCACAAAGGTAAACTGTCAAGGTCACAAATCCATTCTTCTTTCAGTATTTTAATAAGGATCCATGCTTCTGATAATACAGTGTTTCTTTGCCAGTGATAGGAGTTTGTTTCTGAACAATACCTTTTCTTTCAAGCTACTTTCAAGCATATATCGCGAGCAGTGCAAGGAGGAGTACTGACAGGTCCGGGGGCTTGTTTGGTCCATCCGTGGCATCACAATATGGCAGTTTCGCCCCAAAATGCACTGCACTTTGACGTTAGTTGGCAAGTGCTATAGATAGAGTATTCCTTTAACTAAATGTGCACACTACAAAAAACTATAAATACTACACTATAAATAAAAAAATAAAAAAATGTACAGCAAGCAACATAAACTATGAGATAAACTATGAGTATGCTGTGTAAAACAAAAGCAATGTGTCTTCATGTATCTGTTTGCAAATTTATTGTGCAATGTGCACAAAGTGAACAAAGGTCAAACATAATGAGGAGAAAATAAACTATTAAAGAAGTATTTCTCAGGTGAAAAGGTGGTCTTTTCATGAAACTAGATTGTCTATGCAGCTGCATTGTAGTGGGGAGAAAGGTTGGACTGATTACCCAGAGCCCCAGTGGGAGGGGGCCCTTGAAAACCTTGGAATGAAAAGTCTGGGTTTGTTTGCACCCTGACTTAATAGTGAAAGCCCTTTGAGGCTCCTATTATCCCTTAAGGTTGCAAAATAGTTTAGTCCACCCGCGCACTAAGTTTGTCTCTAAACATCATAAATAATAATAAGAATTTAGGAAACTCTGGTTCAAGGACTTTATCAACTCAGTGGTGTGACAGATGAGCACAAGCAGGAGGATTTCAACCTTTTATGTTGAGGTAGTTTGAGCTGGTTTGTTTAACAAAAGAAGAAAGGAATAAAGAATATTAAACTAGACATCATGATTCCTGATTTGGAATAAGCAATAATCCAGCAAGGGTAATTTAACTTCAAACACAATAACTATAAACCTAGGGATCAGGAAATAACTTAACTGAAGCTTAATCAACACAACAAATAAATAATTATCATCTAGGTTTCTATTAATGCATTTAAATCAAAGGAAACTCACATTGTATAGACTCAGTTCAAACATTAGAAGGTAGGATGAGGCTGGTCAACATGCTCCTTTGTCCTCCAGAGAAAAAGGACTGCCACCTGTGAGCTGCTGCTACATATAGACTCTGGGCTCCATCCATCCAGGAAGAGGGAGGCAGTTAGGGATGACTGGGGATTTTTCATGCAGGTAGATGGAGACAGGTAGAGAGGTGCTTAAGGATTTTCTACAGAGAGACATGGATCAAGAGAGGGTGGGTGGGGCCCACAAAGATTGCTTATGCATAGGAGCCAGAATTTGGTGCTATGGCCCTGTGTCTATGCTGTAAAAAGATGAAAATACTTTTGAAATTGTTGTTAGATGCCTAGAGAAGATTAAGCAAAGGAGCTGTGGAATTTGCTTTTGCTCAAGAGGTAGAAACCTACAACAGTACTGCACCGCACTGAATGCTCCCACAGGTGGGTCAGTAATGCAAGCTTGTTTCTCCACAGGAAATAATATGGCAGCTGACCGATAACAAATCTTGTATTTCAGTGAAACATTAATCTAAATAATAAATAGAATATGTTTTTGAAAACATATCTTGGTTAATATTTTGCCAGCAGTGCTTAATTTTACTGTTTGATCTTGTTTTTTTCAGCGTCCACTTTATGTATTGTTGAATTGTTTCCAATCTGCTGTCATCCATCCTCATGATATAACTACACTTCAAAAGGAGGTAGGGGTATGAGGGGAAGAGATGCCCATGCCCACTTAGGAAGTGTATACCATTTCATACCACTGATGCAGCTTGTAATGCAGTATCTTTTGTTGTAGAGAATCTGTGGTAGCAGCAGCCCTCAATGAAAATCAGAGAGTATATATGTAATTAATATAGAAACCTGAGGTGTA